ATATATATATATATATATATATATATATATATATATATATATATATATATTATAGAGTGGTTGAGTTGTCATCCCTTTTTTATATAAGTTAATTTATTTTTTTTAAAATAATGTTGAGTTTTTATTAAAATTACTATTATATACACACGAATGCTCAATTTTTGTTTAGATAATAATATTCACTTCAATCGCTATTCTAAAAATACAAAGTACTAAAGTTTTCGTTTTGAAAATTTTCTTCATTGAGAATACATAGGGTCCAAAACCATTTGTTGCATCTCATATTTACAATTCTAAAAATTATTAGTAATTAAAGTTTTAATAAATCTAACGAGTAGACAATACATAATCTAAAACACAAGAAGTCGAAGTATGTATGTATCAAAGAAGACTAATGTTATAGCCTCAATACCTTACGTGTCAACATTTGTCAAGCGAATGATAGAATTGATATAAGATATAGTTTTTATGGAATTTAGGATTTCATTTAAATAAATTACCAAGAATAAGACTTCATTGATATAAAACAAAAACAATAGGACTTAATAAATATTTAGGGAAAAAGTAATACTTATTAGTTATTTTTTCAATTTTTTTCTCAAATAAATAGATATTTATCTCTTTGTTTCATAATACCTATCAAATTCTCACTCTAATTTTTTTCTCCAAATTTGTTATATTTTTTTTTCAAAGTCAAATGAAATAAAATAAAACTTTTAGCCTAAATGTAATTGGTTCTTTATCAACAATTATATCTTTTAATTCAAGTCATGTGTTGGTCACGAAAAATTATTATATCAANCTCCAAATTTTTTATATTTTTTTTTCAAAGTCGAATGAAATAAAATAAAACTTTTAGCCTAAATGTAATTGATTCTTTATTAACAATTATATCTTTTAATTCAAGTCATGTGTTGGTCACGAAAAATTATTATATCAAAATAAATTCATAAATTTTAAATTAAGTACTAAATTAAAATTCAATTAAAACCCAAACAATTAATCGTTGTAATTAAAATTTCAAAAATTAAATAGATATTAGTCACCTATTATAAAAATATAAATTATTAAAACACTATTAAAATCTAATCTAAGTATTTAATTTAATACAATTAATGGCTGACATCATTTAATCATTTAACAGTGAAGTTCATAACTAATTTAANTTAAATAGATATTAGTCACCTATTATAAAAATATAAATTATTAAAACACTATTAAAATCTAATCTAAGTATTTAATTTAAGACAATTAATGGCTGACATCATTTAATCATTTAACAGTGAAGTTCATAACTAATTTAACATTAAATTAAACCCGAGATTATGTCTCTAAATTAAATCTATCGCTTGTAAATTATAATTTACCTTTGTAAAAGTGCCTCTCTCTCTTTGTGGGGGAACTCCCCCGTCGATCATTGTACCGTTCTTTCTTTCTTTTAGGAACTTTCTCACCCTACAACTTCCAATTCTCTCTCTTCTCGAGGAAGCTTTCTCTTTCTAAGACACAGTAGGAGTAGTGTGCTTACATTATTAGAGCCGTTCAATCTCCACTTCTCACACTCCCTCTCTCACCGACACACACGCTGTCGTACACGTGCACTTTCTCTAATGTGCTTTTGGTGCAACGTGAACGATGATCGACTGAGCTAGCCGAAGAGCAAGTCCTGTAATGGCGACGTGTCACCGAAACGACGTCGGATCGATAGTTCTAGATCGCCCCAGCGGCGGACACTCCAAGCTGTGGTCCGCATTTTCCGGCGCAACGTTACGCCGGAAAATCATCGACACCATGCGCTGCGGCGGTGGTGGCATTTCTCGGCAAGCCAGAACCACCAAAACGTCGTCGGATCATCAAACGCAACCAACTCAAAAACCCGAATGTAAATCGAAATTGAAGAAAAGCGGTGTGTCCGAGAAGTTGTCGGAGCTTTTGAAAGTGTCGGATTGGTCGGAGAATGAGGAGGAGGTGCAGAAGAAAGTAGAGGAGTTGAAGAGAGTGGTTAAGACGTTACAGAGTGAAAACGACGGTGTTTTGGAAGGGGCCATGGAGGTGAGGAGGCTTACGAAGGAAGACTCAGAGGCGAGGACAACCTTAGCTTTGGTGGGAGCGATTCCACCGCTTGTGGCGTTGCTGGATTCGGAGGATATTGGGTCTCAGATCGCTGCTTTATATGCTCTGCTTAATCTGGGGATTGGAAACGATGGGTGAGATTTTATTCCTTTGATTTTCATATTCATTTCAGTTTTTCGAATTTTCTCCGTTTTGAGTATGTTTGTTTGGTTGCTGAGAAAACAGAAGAAAATCCAAAGAAATTTTTGTGTCATTTTCTTTGAATTTTCACTATTTTTAGCTTAGTTTTCATTTAGCATCTTTTTGTTTGTTGGAAGTAACCGGGGCCTCGTCGAGCGGTCCACTTCCACTCCCCCGGGCTTGAGAATTAGCAAGTAAATCCATGCGGATTATGAATTTTGTAACCGACCTACTTTCAGTTTTCTGTATGTTAAATGTGGGTTTTTATGCCGATGGCATGATTTTCTTTTCGGTTTAGATTCTGGATTGAATTCATAGAGTTGCATTCTATTTTATTCCATCTTATGGATCTGGTTAGTTTTTGGTAAAATTTAGTTTATTTTCTACACTCAGTTTTCTTGTTAATTATTCCATTAGAAAGGGGCAAAATGGTATGTGAATGGATAAATTTATGGCAAACTATAACTATTACTAGGATGTTGATTCGGGGATGATATGTCCCTTTCTGTATGTTCAGGTGGTGCTCTCCTTAAAACAATTGTGATTTTCACATAAATAGGTAACAGATACACTTGCAAGTTGCAATATCCCTTATACTTGCATTTTCATCGTGGCCTATATCAAGAATATTTTTTTTTTATTTAATTACTGTAGTATTTGAAATTTAATCAACTCTTTTCAACCCTTTTGCCAGGAACAAAGCTGCCATTGTTAAAGCAGGGGCTGTTCATAAGATGCTAAAGCTCATTGAACATCCAAATGGTTCACCAAACCCGGCTGTTGCTGAAGCAATAGTTGCCAATTTTCTTGGTTTGAGTGCGCTAGACTTGAATAAACCCATTATTGGTTCTTCGGGTGCAATCCCTATTTTGGTGAAAACCCTTAAAGATATGGACAAGGGGAGCAGTTTTCAAGTGAAACATGACTCTTTACGAGCTCTATACAATCTGTCAATCTTGCCTTCGAACATTTTGCCAATTCTTGAGACTGGTTTGATTCCTTTTCTCTTGTGCTTACTGGGGGATATGGAAGTAAGCGAAAAAATCCTCTCGATTCTAAGTAATGTAGTTTCTCAGTCAGAGGGACAAATGGCGATTAGCATTGTGCCGGATGCTTTCCCAATTTTGATTGATGTGTTGAATTGGTCCGATTCACAGGGATGCCAAGAGAAGGCATCATACATTCTAATGGTGATGGCTCACAAAGCATATGGAGCTAGACAGGCCATGGTTGAGGCTGGAATTGCTTCATCCTTGCTTGAATTAACACTTCTAGGTAGCACATTAGCACAGAAGAGGGCATCAAGGATCTTGGAGTGTTTGAGAGTAGATAAAGGGAAGCAAGTTTCGGAAAATTTTGGTGGAGGATTGAGTGCCACAGTTTCCGCTCCAATATTTGGGTCTTCATCGTCGGCTGTAGACCCAAATCATCAATTGAAGGAGTATTTGGGGGAGGAAGATGACATGATGAGTGAAGAGAACAAAGCAGTGAAAATTTTAGTTCAACAGAGCTTGCAGAACAACACGAGGAAGATAGTGAAGAGGGCCAATCTGCCACAAGATTTTGTTCCATCTGATCATTTTAAGTCTCTCATCACAACAAGTTCAACATCCAAGAGCTTACCATTTTGAGGGGGATTGGAAGAAAATTCTGGAGTTATGTTATCTTCCTCATATTGAATTAGGTGGCTCGAGAATTCCATGGTTATCATCTATCTATAGAAATTTTGTCATGTTGGTGATATATCCCTTTTCTGTTACATAGATGTTGATGGCTTCATGTGTTCTCTGTAAAATATTTGGGTGAAATGTTGAATATAAATAAACTTGTGAAATCCATTTTAGTTTTTTTTTTTTTTTTGCACAAAAAATCCATTTTAGTTGAATATTGAACATTTTGCAAAAATACAAAAGTTCATCAGAGTATTGAGATTCCTCTTTGGTTGCTTTGATGGTGATAATGTGAAATTCCACTTTACATAAACAAGAAGTACAAGAGCAATGTAACATGAANGTGAAATGTTGAATATAAATAAACTTGTGAAATCCATTTTAGTTTTTTTTTTTGCACAAAAAATCCATTTTAGTTGAATATTGAACATTTTGCAAAAATACAAAAGTTCATCAGAGTATTGAGATACCTCTTTGGTTGCTTTGATGGCGATAATGTGAAATTCCACTTTACATAAACAAGAAGTACAAGAGCAATGTAACATGAATTTAAAAATTAAACTTGATAATCATAACTGTTGTATAGGTAGTGGGTCCCAATAAATATTGAGAGTTCACTTGCACCTCATTCTTATTTTACAACCTGAAATATTGAAATTTCTATATTACACCTCAATCAAACAAAAAAAAAGTAGCAAAGTGTTCCATTTCACAAAAATTAAGTACAAAATTTTCAATGAAAACACTTAAAATTGAGTATTATGTAAATAATTATTCTTTTTAAATGATTAAGGGTGCAATATGATAATTTTAATATTTAGAGTGTAAATTTAAAATTTGATAATCTTTTAAGATACAAAGTATAATTCATCCAAACAAAAATAAATAGAGATCCAACAACCTTGCTATACTTTGATGGTGGTGGATCCTGATTTCAGTGTGAAATCTATTTTAACTATTTACCACAAAAATAGAAAACCATGTCTGCTAAAATATGACCTAATATGAGTGCAATAAACTTAGGAAGCTCAAATACTTTTTTTTTTTTTATCTGAAAGAAGCTTAAATACTTAAAACTACCAAAAACCATGTAGATCCTGTCAACTTTTGCCAAGCATACTTCCAAATTTAGAGGTGAAAAATGCAAATTCAGAAACCATAAGGTTTGCTTTTGTAAGAATCACTCTTTAAGTTTGATGGGACACTTCGAGGAGGGGTTTTAGATCAACGACACTTGTCCTCGTTGTCGAGGACATCCTTGCCTCTGGCGAGGCCGTGTGTGCTCGGCACTAAGACCCCTGCTCTGACAAGACATGTTCCTCTGCGCCAAGGCCTATGCCCTCGGCTCCGAGGTACCCATTAAAACCTTGATCTTGCCACAATCCCTCAGCTTCTAGAAAGGCTACTAATTGACAGTTGAGCATTTGAACTAGACTAAGAATCATGAGGGCACTCTGCAAAATGAAGCCAGAACAACAAAATGAACTGGACACTCAACCAAGGGGAGTCGAACACGTGGCTTAAAGCGCAGAATAAGGGGTAAAAAAATAGAGCTACCCCTGCTGACATACGGCTGTTTCAGACAAACAATTAATGAATCCTCAAGCGATGGGACATCCACAGTAGCTTTAGGAGCTGAAGAGCGGGGGTATTAAATGATCCATAACTTGTGCATTTAAGTTCCCACATTTAAGAAAGAGCATTAAGTGCTCAACACGCCGAGCAATTAATAATGGGGCTTCCCCATGCAATGTAGGAGGCATATTGCCCCATTTCTAGACGCTACCTACTGTCTAGACCATCAGTAATGATGGGTCTTTGAAGGTATAAATAGTCCTCAAAAATACATTACAAAAGCACGCAAATTCACCCCTCAAGAGCAATATAATACTTTCTTCTTCCCATCTCTCAAAGAACTAACTTGATGTCAGAGGGGATACGTCGAAAAATACTCTGTCACCCTTCTAACTTGTTTTCTGTGTGTCAGGGATGTCCAGCCACCCCCCAGGATCGACCAAATAATCCCAAGAACAATTCATCACCACTCCTTAGGCTCCATTTGACCCTCTCAACTCATTCATTGAGTTCACCTGGAGAGAGATCTGTTCCCATTACATCTATTGTGCGAAATTTATCGTGCACAATCTAGTGTTGTCTGTGGGAAGCGACTAGATTTTCTGAAGAACAGTGACCATGGTGAATACTTGACAAAAGGGAAAGGGTCCTTAACAAAGAAATATCGATTTACCAGCCCTCTCCATTTCGAGAACGGAGGACCATGTCAAGAGTGTCAACAAGGGGCATTTTGTTCACTCGAGGGAGCAAACCGGTCAAACTAGTATGGGTATCGAGTCTGAGGGATCTACTTCATTGCCCCGTCAACTAGCTGAGGTAATCGAGGAAAAGTTTGAAGATCGATTACGGCAGTTAGAGAAGGACAACGTGAATGTCCTAAATTGACTTGATGAATATGTGTCCTCCGGTGGTAGTTTTCGAGACCTATCATGGTCCAGGGAACTATCTCTTAGTGAGGTAGGGCCGGAGGATATGAGAAATCACTTGAGTAGCCGAGGAAATGGCTCCAAGGACCCAAAACGCCCTAGGGCTGATGGGCATCTCCTGGAGGTTCCAACCAAGAGGGCAAGGCCATTGGCTTGGAATGACCTCCGTCAGGGATTGT